CCCCAAAAGTTTCTCAGCGGATTTGGGCTGTACTCAGCAAGCGCAGTACAGCCCCCAACTCAGATTCGAAAAACAATTCAGTGGATGGCTGTTTTCTGACTGGTCGGCAGACCGCCGACCGGTCGGCTACAAAACGGTCGGACGGTCGGCGGTCAGCGGTCGGCAGGTATGCAACCCTGGGTGATACTGAAAAGTGGCGGACTTTTGTGGCCGACCTGGGCTTGCAACCTGGCCACTGGGGTCACCTTGGTTGCCGGGGCGCCCCGGCCAGCAAGAGCCAGGGAAGGGCCCTGGAAGAAAAAAAAAGACCCCGGAAAGTCTGAAAAAAAAAGCCTCTGTTGTGCAGAGAAATAAACTGAAAAAACTTTTGCCTCCGGGTCTCATCGATGCTGCGGAGCGATGGTGGTGCGTGAGGAGTTGTTTTCGAGGTCGGGGTCTCTCAGAGTGTTAATAACTTCATACTCCATACAGCTGGTTGCCAAGTGTGTTCTCACCGTGATTACCATCCGGGCGTTCCGATCTCGTTCCGGACCCAATCCGTCCACCATGTGTGCGTTCACGCAAGCGTGTATGCTGCCATGTTTGCTTCTTTTTGCTTCAGGGTCACATCGAAATTGTTTTGCCGAATTACAATGTTTTTACAATTTTTTTTTTTCAAAATTTTCTTCCTTTTCCCGCGGTTTTGTCCTGGCCGGGCAAGTGGTCCCGAAGTGGAAGACCTAATGATTGGGTAGTACCGTAACACTACGGTAATACCATAATAGTGAAAGGGGTAATTGCGTAAATTGCACGTTTTTTTGAAGTTTCACAGCGGAAATGTTGTCGGGGTCCGAAAGACGTAGTTTGACGACGACAGTGAGACCCCGCCCGCAAATATTTTTTGCTGTCAAACTACTGGGATCTCTAAAGCTGCAACGAACAATGTTTTTTTGCAACGAAACATGGGCCCCGCCAGTACTTTTGCTGTGAAACTACCGCGAACGCGCTATTTTTGAAATGTACCCTTAGTGAAAAGTGGCGGGCCTTTGTGGCAGACCTTGTGTGGGTAATGCATGGACAGTGGAGGCGTGTCTTTTTTTGGAAGTTGACGTGGGTTCAAGCTTCACAGGCAGGTGTTGTCGTAGGCAGCTTTTGGAAGAACGAACATGAGACCTACCGTCTTCACCCGAATAGAACGCCCGGTTGTTGCAGTGTCCGTATTTGGGGCAATTTTCTGCCCAAATGCAGGCAAACAATGACCGGGCGTTCTATTCGGGTGAAGACGGCGGTAGGGCCGTAATCATTCTAAGGGCATTCTCATACTAGGGCTTTTTATACTAAGCTCTGGACGTGATTGCGGTTAGATTCATCCAGGTCGGGCAGTAATTGCAGTCAGATACATTTAGCAAAGTACTACCGTCTTCACCTGAATTGAACGGCCGGTAATCATCGCTGTATGTGGACTGAAAGTTGCACCAAATACAGCTATAATGACTGGGTGTTCTTTTCGGGTGAAGACAGTAGTGTGAGTGTGCCCTAACGATAGGAGTCTTTTGACTGGACGCAATGTCGTTTTGGTGTTGATCTATCCATGGAAGATTTCCTCGTTCAGTATGCCCTTGCTGTTTACAAAAATGTGAGAGATGCTTCATAGTTTTGTCGTGGAAGTTTCGGGAAGCGGTTCTTATCAGAAGGCTCCGAATCATTGTGACTGATAGTCGGGCGTGTATGTGGGTGGGTGCTCTTCCTTGTTCATGGTATGGAGCTAGATTGATTTTTTTTGTTTTTCCCTCTGTGTGTGTGTGTGTGTGTGTGTGTGTGTGTGTGTGCGTGTGTTTTACTCTCTCTCTCTCTCTCTCCTTTTTTGTCAGGAAGTCTGTCGGGTGCTCTTCCTTGTTGATGCTATGCAGCTAGATGGGGAGGGGAGGGTTTCTCTTGTGTGCGTGTGTGTGTGTGTGTGTGTGTGTGTGTGTGTGTGTGTGTGTGTGTGTGTGTGTGTTTTATTCTCTCTCTCTCTCTCTCTTTCCCCTTTTTGTCAGGAAGTCGGTCGATCCGTTTGTCCATCTGTCCGCCTGCCCATGCACTCCTCCCTCCGTGCATTCCTCCATACACCCTCCTCTCACCTGCCCATCCGTGTGTCTGCTTGGCTGCCTGTCCGTCTCGAGTTTCTGACATGAAAGAGTTTCTGACAAGAAAGAGCCCATCCGTGTGTCTGCTGGCTTGTTGATGATCAGGTCGACGCTCTGTATGGCTCATTGAATCCAAAGGGCATTCGTGAAAGGGCCTTGCGGAAGCAGCTTGAGAAGCACTATAATCGGATAAGGTTAGTTGAACTTGGTCCTATTCCTGCCATTAGGTTAGTTGAACTTGTTCATTCCTTCGAGTCGTCGGCAATGACGAAACTGGTTGACGGCACTGAATGTGGCGTTACGGTCTCAGATTTCTCTGCGGTGGATATGTATCAGAGAAAATCATATTTGCAGGCTGTGCTTAGGGACATCCGTCAAAATTGGAACGATGCAGAGAAGGTTAAACCTCCGGTACACCCGAGGCTAAACATACGAGCCAAAGTTTTGAATTTTGCCGAGTCTGAAAGCAACCGGTACCAGCTCGTGGAAAGTAGAGCTCGGTACCGGTACCGGCCTTTTGCTCGGATTGAGTGCCGGACCTGCTGCCACTGCGTGGACTGAAAGGAGGATGATGTTTTCACTCACTAGCCACCCAGACAAGCTCCGATGGCCTACCGTCTTCCCCCGAACATAACGCACCCTAAAAATGAATGTATACAAGCTATATTTCCGGCCAGATACAGCCAAAATGAGGGTACGTTGTGTTCGGGGGAAGACGGTAGTCACAAGTCCTGAACGCTATTGGCTTCAAAATTTCAAATTCATCCACGCATGGCCGTAATTGCAGCCAGATACATTCGGGGAAGAGTTAGTAGTATGGGAAGAACGGGCTGACACTCTGAACCACTTCTTCTTTTTTTTTTTTTTTTTGTGGCTCTGAACCACTTCCTCCCGGCCTCTCACGGGAAGTGATTTCTTCTATTTCTTTTTTTTTTTTTTTCTTTCAGAATGATGATAATCTTTTGTTACTTTTTGAAAAACAAAGGGGAAAAAAGAAGTGAAAGCTCCGCACGTTTGCCTTCAGATTCATTCAGACGGGCCGTTATTGCAACCAGATGAGTAGGCAGGTGAAACTCGGACGAAACAGTTTGCCACAGCCCCTCGTTTGTTGTCCTCTTCCTCTTCTCCCTCCCTCTCTGCCTACGGTTTACCGTCGGCAGCTCTGTTTGACTATATCTGGACGTGATTGCGGTCAGATGCATCCAGGTCTGGCCGTTATCGCAGTCAGATGCGTTTTGAAAAGTGCTAGTGTGAGTATGCCGTACTATGCCCTGAGTGTGCCCTGGGAAGAAAGGGGCTGACACTGCGAATCACTTCCTTGCCGCCTCTCACGGAGTCACGGGGAGTGATTTCAGAATGACGATAGGTTTCTCTTTCTACTTTTTGTCAGTTTTTGAAAAACAATGGGCGAATTTTTTTTTTTTTAATTTTTTTTTTTTAATTGGGTTTAATCCCCACGAGTATAACAGTTCAAACCGAGGCCGGGGACCTCACAATTCAACCCGATTAAAAAAAAAAAAAAAATTTCAACCCGGTGTTGTCCTGGCAGCATCAGCCCGTCTAGTTTACGATGAGCTTCTCTTTCTTTTTGAAAAGCAATGGGCGAAAAAACAAAATGAAAGGGGGCATGTTCTTCATCAGATTCGTTCAGGCGGGGCCGTTATTGCGGCCAGATACGTTCGGGAAAGTGGCGGGTGCTATTATGCACTTACCAGAAACGGCCTGGAGGCGCGGAGGCAGGGAGTGTGTTGAGAAAGGATAAACACCTGTTTTTTTCAGAGAAAACAGAAAAAGAAAAAGAAAGAAAGGGCCAAAAAAAAAAGAAAAAAAAAAGAAAGGGCAAATTCATTTTCAGCTACGCTCTGGATGTGATTGCCATCAGATTCCTCCAGGCCTGCCCCTAACTGCAATGAAAGTTTTTCTTTTTTCCATCGTGATCCCTGCCAGCGAGGCCTGCGTGTAACTGCTATTTCTGCGGCCGTGCCTGTTTCCCCATGCTGCATGGAATGAACCAGGAGCAAGCAACACCACACAGTCCATTTGCCCTTTGTTGCACCAGGGTCCGGCGGCTTCTCCTCACATTGCACTACCGGGCCTTCCCCGAGGCGCGGAATCTTCTTGTGGCGACAAGTTCATTTTTCTGCAAGGCTCGGGCCGAATCGGGCCGTGTACTGGTGGTTTAACATGGCCGCTGTGCAAGGACGACAGGCATGAATTGAGAAATGGTCCAAAATTCTCTACATTTTTTTTTTTTTTTTTTTTTTTTAATTCTCCACAATATGAACAACAACAACAACAGCAACAGCAACAACAACAATGTAAAAGTACTATAAACCTAGGCTACCGGAGTGGCCCGCGGTCACTTGCGCGGCTGGGCCAAAAAAAAAAAAAAAAAAAAAAAAAAAAAAAAATTTTTTTTTTTTTTTTTTTTTTTTTTTTTTTTTTTTTTTTTTTTTTTTTTTGTGTTCATTCAACCTCGTTGATGTTTTTTTTTATTGTGCAGACAACAGCTGCATCGTGTCTATGTGGCGAACAACAAGAATCAGTTCATGGCGTTAGCGCAAACAAGGACGGCACTCTTTTTTTTTTTTTTTTTTTGGGTTCATTCGACCTCATTGATTTTTTTTTTTTTTGATTGTGCAGGCAACAGATTGATGAGAACATTGAGGGAATCCAAGGAGTCAAAGCGCAGAAGAGGGAGGAAGAAGCCGAGGAGAGAAAGAAGCGCAGGGAGGAGATGGACAAGCAGCGAGCTGAAGATCTGATGGCTATTGATCAGGGATATACGGATCGTCATAATAACGTCGTGATGAGGGAGGGGGAGGGGGAGGGGAATGTGCATCGTGACTGGCGAGGCATGACGAATGGCATTGTCTTTCCTCGGCACAATGATATGGTAGCAATAGGGTCTGGAGGTATAAGGGATGCTGCTGTTATGGACCGGAAGGGACCTGACGAGCGCACAGATGCTGGTTACAAGACCTGGCAGAACAGGGGTAAATTGAAAGAGACCGGAGCTGTGGCCTCCACGAGGGGAGATCCAAGCAATTGGTAGGTGTAATCGGATCTCTCGCTCTGCTTGTGTGTGCGTTTGCGAGCGTTCTCCAAAATCCTTCTGCACCAATGGACCAAGTGTTGTCGTCTCACTGCGACCATGCACGACTGAATGGTACACACTTGTAATTGTCGATAAACACACCACTAGCACTGTCTTTTGAGCACCGCCTTCTCACCTCATCTTTGCGCGCTTCAATTGCTGATTGGTGAATGCTGCATGTGGATGGCGATGGAATGAAGGATTCTTTCTGATGGATCTACCCTGTTAGGAAGCCCAAGGGCAGCAATGGATGTAACTGTTCATGAGCAGATCACGAGTTCAAATATTGTCTTGTTGGGATGAGAATCTGATGGATAAAAAAAAAAAAAAAAAAAAAAGCATACATGCAAGCTCACTCTGTGCGGGCAATTCCNGGGGGACCTTCCTTGGTCCTCGCACGGGCTGGCCACCCGGGACCTGGTAGCCTAGCTAAAAAACGATTTGCTTTCTCGTTGGCGTCAGGCCTGTCTTTTCCTCTGGGGTGAAGGTCTCCCTTTTTTTTCTTTTTTTTTCTTTGAAAAAAATATATATGTTGTGCTTTGCGGCGAAGTTTGCTTTTGCCTCATATGTTCGATCGTTTTGCAAAAACATGGCAGAGAGGTAACGCACTTGTGTACGTTCGTGTTTGTGTGATGGATAGTGACCGACTTCCTGGGATGATTCATTCAATTTCATTGTGCATTCGGTGGAATTATTGTGTGCAGCGGCGCGCTGCAGAGGCGGTCCAGGGAAATTGCGCAGAGATTTGCATTTGAAGAAACGGGAGTGAGGAGGTCTACAAGAGTGCGGTCGGCACCTCGTCGTGCATCGTTCCTGTCGTATGTGAACAAGTTTAGGTAGGTATACGTAGAGGCCAAGCCGGGCGTAGGGACGCATTCACACTAGGACTTTCCTTGATGTTAAATCTGATCGTAATTATGACCAGATGCAGTCGTAGAAGTCCAGGTGTGAATGTGCCCTGACAGCAGTGGAAGGAGGGAGGAGGAGGGGTTTTGCAGGCTGAGGCGGCCCCCTGTTATGGACACAGAGAGAGAGGGTCATTCACACACATGTAGTCGTTTGTCGTCGTCGAAGTAGTCGTAGTAGTAGTAGCTAGCAGCAGCAGCAGCAAGGCGAAGACCCCCTTTTGGTGCAGGGATTCAGATGTCAGGCTCGTGCCGATTACTGACAGCTGCAGGTCAGATGAGTACTTAGAGGTAGTGGTGGGCTGGCGCAGCAGCAAGGCCAAGACTCCCAAGAGAATTATTACCTACCCTTCATGAAGATCATTATCCGTCTGTTTCTACCTCGTCTTTCGTCCCCATCCCGGAGCTCGTAGCGTTGTGCTTGGGCCTTTCTAAATCTTCTTTAGTCTTGCCAGCCTAACCCCATTTCTAGTCCCATCACAACTTCATGAATTTTTTCAAAATCGCATGCATATAGCTTCCTTTCCAGCCACGTGCAGAAGCAGGAGGGGCGGTGCAGCAAAAAATTGTCTCGACAGCACTTCTTCACCGATGGCACCTTCTCGTGGAGGACTGGATTGGATGGATTCCTTTGTTAGCAGAGACGGAGGCCATGTGCTGCATGCAACGAAAGGCAGGTTTGCAGGTTTGGTAGGATTATCATTGTGCGGACTGAGTCACAGCGAAGCAATTAGCGCCGCAGGTTGGACTCGGACCCCGACGATCTTCCGTCCGTCTCGCATCTTGCATTGCTCCTGGTTAATGCAATGGCCACTGCAGGTCTAGGTTGCCGCAGTCTGAGCTGGATGAACCAAGCCTGGGTCGCAGTTGCAGGTCGACATTTAGTAGATAGACGCACGCTTTGTGTTCCAGGTGCAGGCAGGTTGGCCACAAGATCGACCAAGCTTTGTGGTGGTCCAGTGCAGGTTGGCCACAGGATAGACGAAGAAGCTCTGTGGACATGGTGTAGGTTGGCCAGAAGATAAGCCAAGCTGTCTGTTCCAGCTGCAGGTTGCTGCCCGCCGGATGAAGCTAGCTGTGGGTTCAAGGTGCGCAGGTTGCTGCCCGCCCCCGCCGGATGAGCTGACAAGCTGACAACTGGGTGAACCAAGGCTGTGTTCCAGGTGCAGGTTGAAATCTGAATAAACCAACGCGGTTTGTATTCCAGGTGCAGGTGCTGCCACCAGCTGGATGGAGCAAGCCTATGATTACAAGCGAAGGTGGCCAGCTGGC